CTCTCTGTATGTATCTCTGTGATATCTGTCTGCTTATATGTTTCTGGTTAGATTTTTGTTTCTATTTCATTTATACCTGATGATGATTGCTTGTGTTGCAATCGAAACGTCGTATGCTATTATTTAATTTATTATTTTATCTTTATACGTGACTTTACCGAAAGAACCAAAGAGTAAGAAGAGTTTTCTATAAACATCCACTCTAATTGGTTTTTTTGACTATCATGTGGGTCAAATTTCGATTTAAAGCTTTCGTGACTGCAGGGATTCATCTTCTTGGTTCTTTCGGTAAAGTCACGTAGAAGGGAAATAATAAAATAATACAAATAAAACATAATTAAATACAATTCTCACGACGTTTCGGCCACAACGCAAGCAGCCGCCCTCAGGTGAAGATCAGGTCTGTCGGAAAGACAGCGTCTGAATGAACACCACCAAGCTTGGCAGCGTATATTTAAGCTGGGTTAGAAGAGGAGGGAGCCTTGACAAATGAATTTGCATATCAACAGGAATTTAGCATATTTATGGAAAATGCAGATATGGGATTAGTCACTACTTGTGGAATGTGTAGGTGAAGGGGGGGGGGGTCTCAAAGTCATATTATGCTCGTGTATTATGTAGGATTAGCAGTAATAAAGGGAGGAAGTAGGGTTAGCAGTAATAAAGGGAAGGAATTTTAATAGTAAGGAGCTGCATTAGCCAAATCACGTGGGTCTCCCAGTCAACTTTTTGGCTTCAAATGTCGTACGTTTATGTGCAAGGGCTTTGAGCTCTTTAAGAGTCTACTCACCAGGTTCATCAGTTGGATCAACTTCTTTGGAAGCAGTGGTAAGAGCATGCGTTGGTTGGATGTGGCCTGGAATCAACAAGAAGTAAAAGGGCGGTGCATCTATAATATACACTGTTAAAACTAAAACTTTTTTTTTTTACCAGGTAAGGCCCACTGAGATCTGTATCTCTTTTTCAGAAGCGACCTGGCCACAAATGATAGCTTAACGAAGTGACGTATCATCAATGCACGCTGTTGATTCTAAATGAGGGAAAAATCCACGTGACCACGGGAAGAGAGACACATACCAGGCGAGGTAGTTAAAATCTCTTCTCTTTGATTCTTTCGGTAAAGTCACGTAGGTGAAAAAATAAATTTAATCACGACGTTTATTTATTTTAAAATTTTCACCCACGTGACTTCACCGAAAGAACCAAAGAGTATGGATTCCTGCAGTCACGAAAGCTTAAAATCTAGATAGATACGTTTATATCGTGGCGATGTGAAGATGTGCAGTATCCTTGGAAGACCTCGAAGAGGCAAGGAGTTCCTGAGTTTAAGTGGCCCGCAATTGCAAAGATCACCCCAAGTGCGTGGCCTAGACCGTGGTGACAGTGAGCAATGCACAATCTGAGGATACTAATGATCTCGATGGAGTATTCGTAGTTGAAATAAGCCGTGAATGCTGGGAGGAGCAAGTCCATCATCATTTTCCATCCGTCCATTCCCCCCATTATCGGGGTCGTCGGGGGAATTCCATCTCAATCGCACCACCAATTCGATTCGTCTTAAGTTTGTGTTGTCCTCTTCCCAGCACACATAGCCCTCGCAAGCCACACGGGTTTACCCCGTATTCTTGTACACGGAAATTGAGTTTTTAAGTCCATACGGCGTACAGCCGTTTCAATAGAGGGGCTTTGTTGGATGAACTTCGAGATGTATAAGGGGCACGGGGTGACCAATAATGTCTAAATTGGTTTGTAATGAGGAAGGCATTGATAAGGGATTGACAGGTATGGGAACTGATGACAACAGTATACAAGTACGGTACCACTGGAAGTGAAACTGATTGTCTGAAGCTGGTTGCGTTGGAAATGGTGCAGAAAACACAATGAGGAAACATCTCAACACGTGGATCAATAACACCACCGCCGTGTGTGTGTGGGGGGGTCTGAGAAGCAAAATTAAGCAACTGCAAACGTGCCAAACCTTTATCAGTGCCCGAGCTTATTACAGATCAAGTCAGACCTTACTGGTCACCCCGTGCCCCTTTAAATTCTCAACTTTCATCCTACAGAGTCCCATCACAAGGGACAAACACAAATAATAGACAATCACCACAAGTACACTCACCACCACTACAACACATTCCTGCGGAGGGAGCTGGTAGGAACGTTGGGTTGCTCGGTCAATGGCCAGGGTCAACGGCGGCGTGGTGTATTCCGCAAATATGCCCGACTGTGAGGGCGGGCACAAGCCGGCGTGAGTAGGTTAAACGTTGAGTTTTATAAGGGCACCACTGGGGTGACCAGCCCCTCCCCACCCAGCCCCTCCCCACCCAGCCCCTCCCCACCCAGCCCCTCCCCACCCAGCCCCACCCTCCCCACCCCACCCAGCCCCTCCCTACCCTCCCCTCCCCACCCAGACCCTCCTTCCCCACCCAGCCCCTCCCTGCACGACGGACGGACACAATAATCCCCTGTGGGCTGGTGTAACCAGGAGGTTCCTACCAGTATAAATGTCAACCCCTATAAGTGATTACCTGATTACAGACCAATTCAGACCTTACTGGTCACCCCGTGCCCCTTTAAAATCTCAACTTTCATCCTACAGAGTCCCATCACAAAACACAAATAAGACGGAAAAAAATGTTGCCCGTATTGAAACAGCTGTACGCCGTGTGGACCTAAAAAGTCACACTTCTCTGTACAACAATACGGGGTCAACCGCACGGGTTGACAGCTATGCAATCGGCGACGTTTCGGGCAATGACCCCTTCTTCAATTGCACGCACCACCACCACCACCGATTCGATTATCTCGTGAGCAGGGACAAGGCATCGATTCCTCTCTCGCATCTCGTTATTCGAGTCTTTTTGAAACGGTTGCTCAACACAAGCCCCACCGCAACACGTTAAGCGGACGGTAACAAACTGCGCTCTCGTTGATGGACCACATGGGGTTAAGAGTTAACACGTAGATTACTCCGGGCAAGGTGATAACTTGAAGCTCGGCGATTTGTGAATTCCAAAGTCGATTCGTAATCGATTCCGATTCCCCTACGTTGCCGATAGGCTTTCACAACATTGGAATCGATTCGATTTACTTTGTCGCTTGTGAGCGCGTGTTAATCGGTTCCATGTGTTCTGTGTTGCGGAACGAATCGTGAAGTCCGCGGTGAAAGAATTCGCGAATCGTTTCCGAAATTAACGCAAAAAAAACAACCCCCCCTCCATAACTCCACCCCCCGGCGGAATCGACGGTCGACTTAATCAACAACCGCTTGGAATCGCTTCAATCCCCGTTGAGTTGTAGCTCGTCAGCGGGCGGAATCGACGAATCGTCCCAAACGACACCAACCCAAACAAACCGCCGGAGGAATCGATCGCTCGTTAATCGACGCTCCTCGATCCGGATGTTGTTTTGCTGTCGATTCCTTACGCACAGGAGGAGGAGGTTGTTGGTTTGTGGGTGGTGGAGTGAGGTTGGTTGGCTGGTGGAGTGAGGAGTGAGGTTGGTTGGAGGAGTGAGGTGGTGGTGGTGGAGGAGTGAGGTGGTGGTGGTGGAGTGAGGAGTGAGGTTGGTTGGGGTGGAGTGAGGAGGAGGTGGAGGAGTGAGGAGGTGGTGGTGGTGGAGTGAGGAGTGAGGTTGGTTGGCTGGTGGAGTGAGGTTGGTTGGGGTGGAGTGAGGAGGTGGTGGTGGAGTGAGATAGAAGAAGGTGGAGGAGGTTGGTTTGGTGGAGTGAGTGAGGAGGAGGAGGTCGGTTGAACGAGGTGAGGAGGTGGTGGTCGTGGTGGTGGACGAGTGAGTGAGGTGGTAGTGGATAGGGGGGAGGTGGTGGTGGTCGTGGTGGTGGACGAGTGAGTGAGGAGGTGGTAGTGGATAGGGGGGAGGTGGTGGTGGTCGTGGTGGTGGACGAGTGAGTGAGGAGGTGGTAGTGGATAGGGGGGAGGTGGTGGTCGTGGTGAACGAGTGAGTGAGGTGGTAGTGGATAGGGGGGAGGTGGTGGTGGTCGTGGTGGTGGACGAGTGAGTGAGGAGGTGGTAGTGGATAGGGGGGAGGTGGTGGTGGTCGTGGTGGTGGACGAGTGAGTGAGGAGGTGGTAGTGGATAGGGGGGAGGTGGTGGTGGTCGTGGTGGTGGACGAGTGAGTGAGGAGGTGGTAGTGGATAGGGGGGAGGTGGTGGTAGTCGTGGTGGTGGACGAGTGAGTGAGGAGGTGGTAGTGGATAGGGGGGAGGTGGTGGTGGTCGTGGTGGTGGTGGACGAGTGAGTGAGGAGGTGGTTGTGGATAGGGGGGAGGTGGTGGTGGTCGTGGTGGTGGACGAGTGAGTGAGGAGGTGGTAGTGGATAGGGGGGAGGTGGTGGTGGTCGTGGTGGTGGACGAGTGAGTGAGGAGGTGGTAGTGGATAGGGGGGAGGTGGTGGTGGTCGTGGTGGTGGACGAGTGAGTGAGGAGGTGGTAGTGGATAGGGGGGAGGTGGTGGTCGTGGTGGTGGACGAGTGAGTGAGGAGGTGGTAGTGGATAGGGGGGAGGGTGGTGGTGGTCGTGGTGGTGGACGAGTGAGTGAGGAGGTGGTAGTGGATAGGGGGGAGGTGGTGGTGGTCGTGGTGGTGGACGAGTGAGTGAGGAGGTGGTAGTGGATAGGGGGGAGGTGGTGGTGGTCGTGGTGGTGGACGAGTGAGTGAGGAGGTGGTAGTGGATAGGGGGGAGGTGGTGGTGGTCGTGGTGGACGAGTGAGTGAGGAGGTGGTAGTGGATAGGGGGGAGGTGGTGGTGGTCGTGGTGGTGGACGAGTGAGTGAGGAGGTGGTAGTGGATAGGGGGGAGGTGGTGGTGGTCGTGGTGGTGGACGAGTGAGTGAGGAGGTGGTAGTGGATAGGGGGGAGGTGGTGGTCGTGGTGGTGGTGAACGAGTGAGTGAGGTGGTAGTGGATAGGGGGGAGGTGGTGGTGGTCGTGGTGGTGGTCGTGGTGGTGGACGAGTGAGTGAGGAGGTGGTAGTGGATAGGGGGGAGGTGGTGGTGGTCGTGGTGGTGGTGAACGAGTGAGTGAGGTGGTAGTGGTCGTGGTGGTAGCGGACGAGTGAGTAAGGACGAGCTGGAAGGACGCCCTCTAACCGGCGTGAAGATGGCCGAGGAGGAGGAGGGGGGGGTGAGGAGGAGGAGGAGAAGGACTCGAAGCTGGCGGCCGCCGCCTGCATCGTGGCTGCCGCCTACCTGGGCACCAACAAGCGGCAGCGGAGCCGCGGATGGGCCATGAGCTGCGGCAACGGAGGAGGAGGAGGGGGCCGAGTGAGGTCCGTGTGGGATGCGAGCCAGGAGGTCTTCCTCATCGAGTGGTTCCACGGTGCGGATCGTAGCCAACACCAAATGATGATGATGATGGTGGTGATGATGATGGTGGTGATGATGATGATGGTGGTGGTGGTGATGGTGGTAATGGTGATGATGGTGGTGGTGATGATGATGATGGTGGTGATGGTGATGATGGTGGTGGTGATGATGATGGTAATGGTGATGGTGGTGATGGTGATGATGGTGGTGGTGATGGTGATGATGGTGATGATCGTTAAATACCAAACAACAACAGCAGTGGAGGAGGATGACACTCCACGAGCGTAATGTGTTCAGCGCGCAGCGTTTTCGCACGCGCCGTGAACGCACGGATAGCAAGCCCCACGGGGTGTATAACGTACGTGGATGGGGGTTTATATGGGGTCTGTAGGGGTTTGTGGACGTGCGTGCAGGTTTTTGTGGGATTCACGTGTTTACGTGCGTTTACATGGGTTGACGTGGGAATTACGTGGGATTAAAGTGGGGTTTCAACGGGTCTTTTTTACATGGTGTTTACATGGGACTCACATGGTGATCACGTGCGTTTATATGAGTTTCACGTGGGTTTATATGGGTTTTCACGTGGGTTTATATGGGTTTTCACGTGGGTTTATATAGGTTTTCACGTGGGTTTATATGGGGTTTCACGTGGGTTTATATGGGTTTTCACGTGGGTTTATATGGGTTTTCACATGGGTTTATATGGGTTTTCACATGGGTGTTTACACGGGTTTGGCATGGGTTCCACATGGGTTTACAAGCAATTTCCATGGGTTTACTTGTGATCAAAATCGATTGTAATGGCAGTCAGTGAGCAGGGATTGGTTTTCCTGGAATATAATTTTCGTGTCGCGTTTCTGAGAGCGCGTCCAATGAGATGGAACGATGAAATCAGCTCGCGTGCAGGTGCTCGGTGAATAACATCGGAGGATCACCCAGCAGTGGATTGACTACGACTGACGATGACATTTCGTGTTGGTTGGGGGGGGGGTGCCGGTGGTCAGCCCCTGGGGGAGATTACGCCGAGGGGCTATGCGCCCCCAGAGGACATCAACCATGGAGATGGAGCGAGCGACGGGATCAGTTGGTTGTGGTTCGTGCGCAGGGAGTAAGATGATGGGGATGGCAGCAGCAACAGCGCTGGAACGCTAGGGATGGTAACGCCGTGCGCAGTAGGTAGGGTTGGAGGCTTTAATTCTAGACTTGAAGCTTTCGTGACTGCAAGGAATCATATTCTTAGGTGTTTTCGGTAAAGTCACGTAGGTAAAACATCAAAATTAATAAAAATAATAAAATAAAAATAAAGATCACGACGTTTCGGAGGTAACACAAGTCTCCGTCATCAGGTGGGACAGTCACAGCCAGATCAGCTGCTCACTTGATGCAGCTGATGGTTATAAATAAATTAATAAAATAATTTTATTATTTTATTTTCTACCTACGTGACTTTACCGAAAGAACCAATGAGTATGGATCCCTGCAGTCACGAAAGCTTCAAATCTAGATGGGTTGCGCAACCAGTTACCAGCAGATGTTCGGGATCCATCCTTGAGTCTTGCAACAGACTTAAAAACAGTGTACTGTAGTTTCAAAGGGCTTACCGTGTGTGATGAGTTCACGTTCGTGATGGACTGGACTCATAACAAATGTTTAGACCTACCAACTTAGTTATACGCAGTGCAAATAGACTCTACTTTCAAACGATGTGCTCAGCGAATTTTTTTTTTTAGCGCCGTATTTCATCACGTGGAGTGCAATTGCCAAATGCGATCGGTTATAATGTTACGTGCACCGTTTGATTTGCTGTTATGAAGAGGGTGGTATATAATATTTAAAAGTCGACTAAAAGGTACTGAGGAGTGGAGGTCATCAACCATTCTGGAGAAATATTGCCATTGAGAGAGGTTTTGTGGAAAATCAATGACAAGCCATGCTGCGAAAATCAATTTCGGATGAGACGGCTACAAAGGCCAGCTCTTCATGTGTAATTGATGAAGTCATTGTTTAAAATAACTGCCAGTTCCAGTTACCATAGAACATGGGTAGACTGAGATGATTGACAGACCAAAAATGAATGGTCATAGAATATAAAATAGCCTAAATGGAATGCCCATTCTAGTCTTTTGCCTTTCCTTTTCCTATTATAGTTTGTGAATTCTTTTTCACATGAGCGTGTATAGATGTATACATTCTATTTTTTTTGGAAATAGCGCCCTATGCTGTGGGATGTCTCAGCAATACAATGGACGTTAAGTCTCGTTTCAGCACATTGCCAAAGGGCACCCCCAGTTGCAGATGTCCCTGCGAGGCACAGGGTGACTGAGCACCTGGCATTAGTCTGTGATTAAGGGGGGCGATGATTGCTGCGTATCATCCCTGTTGAGTGATTTGTGGGTAATTTTGGAATTTCAGCCAGAAAAACTTTCTAGATTTGAAGCTTTCGTGACTGCAAGGATTCATATTCTTAGGTTTTTTCGGTAAAGTCACGTGAGCGTAAGAATATGAATACAGAAAAACTTTGTTTGTTTTAAAGAATATAGCAGGATATGAGGTGTGCAATGCCTGTCTGGTTGGTTAGTTTGGTGAAGGATGAAGTTAGATTCTCATCTCTGATTACCTCCTGTGCCCTGCCCATAAACATTATGCCCCCTCCCACATAATTGATTAATTTCATATTTGCTTTTCACACATGCAGTTGCTCTCGTATTTTTTGACGATATTCGACATGGCCCCATTACCCCCCCCCCTCCCCCACTGCTGTTTACCCCCACTTGTCCAATAATGCCTCCAAACCCATTAAATAATCCCTCCAAACATATAAATGAGACTCTCCTGGTCTCCTGAGTTCTCACCTGGTTTAACCAATAAACTTGACTTGATTCTAACCATTTCCTCTCCATATTTCGCACCATCTTGAGATACAGTCCAATCTGGATAACTACGACCACAATTTGTCGGTGCTGGAAGGAAGTTTTGGATCTTATTCTGTAAAGAGAGCCATTATGTGGCCAGCCTTGTGGCCCAAATTAAAACTTCTAAAATTATAGCTGTGGATTATTGTCAAATTGACAAAATGTGCCAACAAACCCTGACTCCTACTAATTTTGATGACAAATTTCAAACGGAGAGAAATGTTCATGATATTGTGAACGTCGAGATTTTGCAGTGGTAGTGGCATTATATTTTATCTTTTTTAACAATTTTTAACAGGTGGTGATGTTCACATTTGTCCTTTTGGCTATGACAACTTTTAGACAACGGCTTGCTATTGTGAACTATGGCAAATGAAACATCAACTTTACAGCAGCTGCTGCTGCACGAATCCTCCTGTGGCCTGCGCCAAACAGGCCGAGTGGCAAGCTTACTATCCAGCCGGGCTTCTTCAAATTGAAATCTCACAATGCATTAAATGTTTTCTTGTTTACTCTACGCAGATCACCGGTTCATGTGGGATCCTTCGAACCCAGATTATTTCAAGAGGGACAAACGCAACAGAAAAATGAATGAACTCTGCGAGCAGCTGGGCGGTGATGCCCACGGGGTACCCTTCACAGGCAAGAAAAGTGTCACACGTGTTCGTTCGTCCTTCTGTTTGCCTCTGCTTCTCGCGCGCAACAAGTTTGTTGTTCCCAACCCAGTCACGAGCGACTGTAAAAATAAATCTGCCGTGACAATTAATTCAGCAAGTGGATTTTTGTTTGAATGTATATTTTTCGTAATTTTTCCATCGCTTAGCTTTTCGTTTCAGCGTGACTTAATTTACTTAATAGTCACGCTGAGTGTCTGTTGCGGTGTCTTGTACAGTGCTTTGAGATCTTAGTTTTATATTAGAATTAGGTAAGAAATGATGCATCAATTAAAATGTATTAGTCGGCTCATGATACATGTATCAGATTGTGCATGTGAGAATTGGTTATATTTTAATTAATGAAAATTCTTTACCAATCATATTTTGATGTTACATTTAGGCTAAAGTAACAAAAATACCCCACTGAAAGCAAGACAAAAACAAATCTATAAATATGAAAAATGGTACAGCAGTCATTATACCAAAAAAGAAAGGTGTTGATTCTTGACTCAAATTTCGACCCAAAATCGTCGACGACCCATTAAGTCGCCGGAAACGGTGATTTTGTTGAGATCCAGTTTGAAATCCAGTCGCCCAGCGGCTTGTGCCGCACATTAGTAGCACTGGTGGGACTTCTGAGTCTGGCAACAATGGTGGGACACCCGACAGTGTTGATGTTCACTGTTCAAACTCAAACGAGGACTGGCGAGGTGCTGATTTTATGTTTGCAAGCCATGAGCCAGCGATGGGAGTTTCACATTTCCACGGGGGCCGATCTCTCCGATGAATTGTACGCACGCCAGAGGGATAATAAGGAATAATGTTGTTCAAGAATGTGGAAATACTTCAAACATTTTCTCCCTGGTTACCGGGAGCATAATTTTGACGAAGTAACAAAACAAAAATGTGCAATAATATTACCGAAGGTCATGCCGAGTTAGGCATTAAATCAGAATGCTCGAGACGGTACAAGGTTTACGGGTGAATCAACATCAACATTTCCAAGGCATTTTTTATGGCAGGTTCTTGTCTGACACCTAGTGGTATACACACGTAAATATAAGGAATACAGGTAGTCCTCTACTTATGATGGAGATGCGTTACGACGACCCCATCGTAAGTCAAAAATATCGTAAGTCGAAGATGGCCTAGCCTACCCAGGAGTCTTAAAAAATGGTGATAATGTAGCAAAACAGAGCAATTTACAGTACCGTGCTGTATAAACTATACACTGTATGTATTTATTACAATACTGTATTGCACAGTAAAATGTAAGGTAAAAAAAAAGGTAAATTCTTAGCCTACCTATATGAACTGCAATTTAATAGAAAGTTTTTTCAGGAAACAATCCTATCTGCATCACATAAGTGCGGGAGATGCGCACATCCCGGCAGCGTCCCAACGTACAGTATCGTACCTCGTATGCTGCTGCGTTTGCCTGCCGCGCGAAATTTAAATAATTTAAAAATTTTGTCGTATGGCTATCGCCATCGTAAGATCGAAATATCGTAAGTCAACCCATCGTAACTCGGGGACTATCTGTATGTTGATAACATTGCAACCACGCAGTTTGGCCTGTTTAGTTTATACTTTTTTAATAACGGATGGCACCTTAATGGGACAGCCTGAAAGTTCTATAATTTGTTTAGGAATGGGCATGATCTATCACAACTGATCGGCAATCGATTACATTAAATGTAACGTGTGTAGGCTTTCGCAACCAATATTTCGATGAATAATTTATTCTCGGGTCAGAAGATCGCGAAGTTAAAATGTTAAAATGTCTTTCGTATAGCCTCCTCCGCCTGAAGCAGCCAATTGAATCTTATGGCGGTACCCCGGGGTATGATAGTACCCCGGCTCTCGCATGATGTCCGTGATGCAGTCATTTTTAGTCTGTTGATGGTCGGCTATGCGGCAATCGACTCATCTCGACGAACTGTACACGATGCACCACCACGGTGCGTACTGCGAGCGTTCAGGATTTCAGCGCAATCGTCCTCGCTGCGTTTCAACATCGCGGAGTGGCACTGATTTCGGATTGATTGGTACCCCAGTCGCGGAGTTAAGTCCACCCCTGGAAAAAAAATAGTGTCCCTGAAATAAAATATTTAATTGCCTCTGCCATTTTGTATTATTTGGTACCCCGGGGTACTACCGTAAGGATCAATTAATAAAGTTATCATCTGAACGAACGTGCCAGTTAATCACCGATTAAGCACTCCAATGTGTTGGAGACTACTTTAGAACATGATTAGGTTTGCAGAGGTATTACAGGGTTTTTAAGGTCCCACTTTACAAAACAAAATTACCAGGTGACAGTGGCAGTAGTACCACCACATGGGCACACAAACCGTACGTAATGCTGTACCGTCGACGTCACGTTTCTCAACGGCGCAAAACAAAATAAAAATAGCATACAAAAAATGGCTGCAGGGTGCGAAATGATTTGACGTCATCTTCATTCGCAGGGGAAGAGATCAAGTTTAAATGGAAGAACTTGCGGAGCATCTATTTCAGAGAGGTGAAGAAGGTGGAGGATGCGGACCGGATGGGAAGTGGCCGGTCAAACGGATACTACCCCAAGTGGCATCACTTTGAGCGGCTCGGCTTCTTGCGAGAGGCTATGCAGTCGCGGTGCGGACGGTACACCTTCAACCAGTCGGCGGCAAGTAGTAACGCTCCCACAGCCGCACTCGGTCAGGGGAATCTCTATATATCTAGATAGATATCTAGATAGATAGATATATCTCTCTTTGTTCTTTTGGCTTTACCGAAAGACCCAAAGAATAATAATTCGTGCAGTCACGAAAGCTTTAAGTCAAGATCCTAATGGATTCTTCGTCTTGCGACGTGACTCCAATAGTGCAATCGGGACAAAAGTTGGGGACAAATTACGACAAAAAATCAATAGTCTACAGCCTCTTGCAAATGTTATCCTAACGCTCGTCTTTCTTTGCAGCTGGACAAATTTGTTACCGACGCTCCCACGCCCGCCGCGCCCTCGCCCAACACGCCGTCGTCGCCGGCGCGCTCACCCACGGAGCTGGCCGCGTCGCTGCAGGCCATGCCCTCGCCCTGCCCGCCCTGGGCCTCGCCCTCGGCGCAGAGCATGAGCGGCACGAGCTGCCTGTCGGACGAGGACACCAAACCCCTGAGCTGCGTGCGGCAGCTGCGCAACGACGGGCTCGTCGTCGGCGGGGGCGGCAGCGTAGGAGGCGGACGCGATGTCATCGGCGATGTCGGAGGACTCGGAGGTGGGGCGGGAGGCCGGGGAATTGGAGGCGGCGGGGGGGCGGGAGTTGGGAGCGTCCGCGCCGAGCAGCTTCTGAACACGGCCATGACGCACCTCGGCGGGTCGCGGCGGGGGACGGAGAGCGCCGACGACATTTTCGGGAAGTACATCGCCATGTCGCTGCGCGAGATGCCGCCGCGGAAAAGGGAGCGGGCGCGACTGGCGCTGCACAAGACGCTGCACGACATCGCCGTCAGCGACGATTAGCGGCCGCCAATCCCCCCCCCCCCGCACAGGTATCGTCGCAACGTACCGTGGAAGAGGGCGATCGGATATTTTAGTTTTTGCGAACAAGGTGGGCCTGCAGAAAGCCGCCAGTCGGAGACGGCCCTACACTGGGTCCCGTTTACCCTTCGCAGTGGCGTCGCTTAAATGGGCTCTCGCATTTTGTTCGTCCAGGCTCGGGACATCGATTAGGTCAAGGGAAGGTGCTAGAGACTTGATTTTAGCGAGTGGACATTTGGACGTGGATTTTATCACTGTGTAGCATGTAAGCGCAGAAGAGTCTGCGAATAGAAATAAGACTTAGAAAAAGGAAGCCATGTGGTTTTCTACATTAATCGATTTGAAATCAACTTTTGGTATTTATTCAACACCGACATGCGCGACTGAACCATTTTTCTGAGTCGGCATTTCAACATGAATATGTATTAGTACATCAGCCTATTAGCGTTGCAGACCAACATTATCGAGCAGCATTTGTTTAAGCAAGCTAAACTATGGACAGATGTCGATGTTCAGTCACATCAGCAGTCAGGCTTGTTAAACATGCTGCTGGAATACCAGATGGTATTGGCGAGAGCACTCCATATAAAATACGTGACCCCATTCAATGCAAAAAGCAACATCAACTACTATTTGCCACTAAGTAGCCGTGACATCACCACGGTGCTTTTTCCAGGATAGGTAAACTGTAAAGGCTGGCAGGCAGGTCATGAGACAGACCCAGCTGCCATGGGTTGACTTACTGAGATGACTGACAATTGCACCACGTGCTCTCCACTGTGGCCAGCTTGCCGCGTTTTAGCCGCCAGGCGCTCGGCTCGTTGCCGCGAGCATCACCCCTCCACCCTCTGTTGTTGCTGGAGGGAGGCTGCCTTCAACTGCCCAGCCGCATCCTTCACCAGCCTTCTCCACGGAGGCCGATCTTGACAGGTGGTGCCCATCGTCGGCAAGTCCAATCGGTTCCACGTCCTTCTTTACCGCATCAGTCCATCTCTTCTCAAGCCCATGCCATGCCGGTTTAGCCCTCTCTATCCGGCCAAAGAGAAGCTGTTTGGGGATACGGTGGCTAGGCATGCTGGCTACATGATCCAGCCAACGCAGCCTTGCCTGCCGGAGGAGCTCACTTAGGGAACTGTGTCCAGATCGTTCGAGGATCTGTGAACTCCTCGCACAATCTAGCCTGGTTAAACCCAGGATGGATCGTAGGCAGGTCAGCCTGAACGTTTCAAACCGGTGCAGATGTTCCTGGGTGGTGCTCCGTGTTTCGCAAGCAATAGAGAAGGGTGGGTATAACTGTGGCCGGGAAGACCCAGACTTACATTACTCTCTCAGCCTCCCTCTATGGTACACACACACAAAATGCTAAATTAAATACCCTACACACTCATGTGTTGCCATAGTGAAGGTCAAATCCGGTCTGGGAAGCCAATAGGCCTCTGGACTAACACATTTTTTATTTGTATGTCGAGACACTCAATGGAGTTCGGCTTATTTATATTTTTCCATGATCATTCAGCCCCCTCTCCTCTCCTCCCGGTAGTTAATACAGCAGATTACCAAAGCACACCGATAGCTGTAACGTAGACGGTAACAACCCCTGTGTAGTATTTTGCAAGAGCGGACCATTGCACATCCTTGTGATCTGCGGCAATCTTTGTAAATAACCTGCAAATTGTACAAAAAAAAATTAACAATACGTCTAACTATGGATAGCCAGATATCTTTAAAAAACTGTGTTCTATTTGTTTGCTTAATTGATGAAGTAACACAAATTTGTTTATCGTGAGAAGATGTGAGTGTTTAGCAGCGTCCACTTATGTGGGTGCGATGACAAAATCACCCGGAATGTGTCCAGTCTCACTAGATCTCGGAAGCTAAGCAGGCTTGAGCCTGTTTTAGTGTGGGGGAGGGTGACCGCCACGCACAGCCGGTTGCGATAGGTTTCTGCGGGGCTATGTGGTGGGTAGCGGAGGGCATTGCGGCAAATTAATTTGTTGGCATGTGCTTCCTACGTTTCCACATCTGTGCTTCCCCCACCTTCAAGTCGCGCTGACCGCCACGGCGAAGTATGGCGAAACAAAACCGAAAACCCCGACGGCGTAGGGAGGCCCTCATCCAGCAGTGGATTGACAAAAGGGCTGTACGTTCACATTTTGCAAATGTCAGCTCCCATTTGATTTCACTATTCGACCACCTCTGGATTATGTGATTCGAGCGGGGGGAGAGAACATTGTCAGCAAAACATAGAGAAATGTTCGTCTGTTTTTTGTAATATTTAACAAATAGTACCTGTACATTTTAGCATATGAAGTTTATACAATTGTATTGAGCACTGTTTATTGAAAGTAAAAAAAAAATCTCCACGGGCTCATTCAATATAATACATATTCCCACCACTCAGTGTTATCCAGGTGAGATTCACGTGGAAACTGTCAAGAAAATCCTCACAAATCTGATCAGAACACCATTAATCACCCTAAAGAGTAGCCGATGTCATCTGCTTTCGGAAACCAAGGTTGGTTGTGCCTGGCTAGCCCTTCGATAGGTGGCCACCAAGAGATGGCAAGTATGAGACGGCGAGGTAGGCCGGGAGGGGAGCCCGTGGTGTAGCGGTTAACGCGCCGCGCTACGAACCCGGCGACTCGAGTTTGATTCCGTCTCGTGGCCAACACCAGTGACGATTCTAGATTTGAAGCTTTTGTGACTGCAAGGCTTCATATTCTTAGGTTTTTTCGGTAAAGTCACGTAGGTAAAAAAATTAAATTAATAAAATGAAATAAAAATTAAATAAAAATCACGACGTTTGATACAGCTATCGTGCTGTGACGGTCCTACCTGAAGACGGAAGCTTGTGTTGCCTCCGAAACGTCGTGATTTTTATTTAATTTTTATTTAAATTTTTTACCTACGTGACTTTACCGAAAAAACCTAAGAATACCAGTGACGATTGTCTGGAACTGGTCCTGAGCCCTCTGCGACGTCGACTCGGTATCAAATGAGTACCTGGTGTGGTGTGTAAACATCCGTTACTCGAGACGCAAACGCAGCCGTGCGTGCTGCCGGCCACCAAGCCCCTCGTGTGCCGTGCCGGCTTTAATAGGTGCTCGCTAACAGTGCTTTCCCCCAACGGTCTGTTCAGACTATGAGGGGGATTCTTTTATCTTTGGTGGCCAGGAGGTGGTAGCGTTGGGTGCTACCGCTGCTATTCGTGGGTTTTCCCCGTGTATTCCCAATTTCCTCCCATATGGCAACCCCTTGTATTTGACCGAACATCCAACGCAGGACGCTGCTTAAACATGTTTTGAGGCTTGGTGAAGATATCCTGGGTAAATGATTGGTGTTATGTTTTTTTTACTGCATTTTAAATATCTGCATGAACCGTCCGATTCGGTTCAAAAGTGTTAAGAAAGAATGTTTGCTTTGTGTTGCACCACACACTACCGTCGCAGTCAAAAGTATTGAGGAGCGGCTTGCCAGACAGACATCTCTAGGTCAGCACTGCTCAGAATACCGTATCATTCCCCGTACAGATCTTTCTGGCGATCCACATTTCAAACCTGCGTAGTTTTTTTTGCGGTCTATAGCTGAGTAATTTTATTTAAAAAAATAACTAATTGGTTACCCGATTATACTCTCGTTCCGTGGTTCAGAACAATTTAATTAATATGGGAATTGATTTAGTGAGTAGTGTCGACTTGGCTGATGTGCAAAGAAGTGGATTCTTCACCCCACGTTTGCCCAAAGCATTCCTTAAAATGTATTTTGTGGATCATGTCATCAAATTGGCAAATTGTGATTGGTCCGAGGTGAGCGTGATTTTCTACTCTCTGCGTTTGTCTCATTGTCGTTCTGATGTTTGGCCACGTTCAGGTAAGCGACTGTACCGCTTAGGCCTGGGTATCTGATGCTCGTTCCGTTGAAACGATAACATAACGTGCGACTGTGTGTAACCCCCGTGATTTTATTTGGCACACGTCATGTGACGGGTAACTGCAAGATCTGACCGTGTCTGACCAGTGCTGCTGAGCTTCATTCGTTTCCGGTTTGCTGAAAGAATACGTTATGTCGCACTCATTACACACATTGAGCTTGCCACAAATGAACCAGAATATCTTGCCGATCTCGTCAAGGTGCAATAAACCATCACAGAAACTCTGGTCATCCTCGCATCGACTTTGGCCTAACCATCAAACAAAGACGGGTCACCGCATCGCGCGCTTTCAGATGCGCTTCTGCGGCCGTCTGGAACGCTCTTCTGATATGAGGAAGCCACTTGAGCTATGCACTTTTAAATCTAAATTGAAAACTAATTTCGTTAGAAGTGCTTTTTGTGTTTAGTTTATTGTCCCCCCCCCCCGCACCTCTGATAAGCACGGGTGGCTACGTACGGTGCGAAAGAAGTTCCACATCATGGCTGACACAAGTAATGGTTCTCAAGCTATGGACGTTAAAGAACGGAGCATCGGAACAATTCCACGGAAGTCATTTTCATTGTTAAACCTGTGTCACGAAGAAATAATGCCTTGAACGGACACCCGTGAACATGACCCGCGTGGTTGAACGCCATCCACCACGTGACTATAAGTTTAGAGGCCTTACAATGTAATCTCTTGCCTGGCGCGTGAGAGTTCAGAATGGCAACACGAATGCTGTTAAAAAAATTAGTAGTCTTGTGCTACTTTACCATTACCAGAATATAACGTATCGAAACAAATGGTCACTTCATTGCAAGATGTTGTCGACAAGCTGTGTCATTTTACATTTCACTAATTGCAATAAACTTGCATTTGCGCAATAGTACGAAGCCCGTCCACGGGTTTTTTTTTTATTGTACGTGACTCGGAGCACACTGTCGTCGAGATTGTGGTGTAATAATTGCTATTTGCAACGTGGGAGATCTCTTGTAAGGGTGCGTGTGAAGCCTTCAATTAGTATACAGGGACTCCTCTACTTGCAAACATTCGACTTACGAACTTTCAGAGATACGAACAAACCTGGTCTGTATGTCCAGTTGCCCGTTCCGACCGAGAGTCGTAAGTTCAACCACCGCGCAATAGATGGTGGCGGTGGCATCTACATCTGCAGAACGTGAAGAATCAGTGGCATCTACATCTACAGCACATGAAGAACCAGTGGCAACTGCATCTGCAGAACGTGAAGAACCAGTGGCATCTACATCTGCAGAACGTGAAGAACCAGTGGCATCTAAATCTGCAGAACAGTCAAGAACCAGTGGCATTTACATCTACAGAACGTGAAGAACCAGTGGCATCTACATCTGCAGAACGTGAAGAACCAGTGGCATCTACATCTACAGAACGTGAAGAACCAGTGGCATCTACATCTGCAGAACTGTGAAGAACCAGTGGCATCTACATCTACAGAACGTGAAGAACCAGTGGCATCTACATCTTCAGAACGTCAAGAAGCAGTGGCATCTACATCTGCAGAACGTTACCGCATTGTAACGGCAAGCGTGTTACGTTGTAAAGGTGCACGCTCCGTGTTGTAACGGCGTGCGTTCCACGTTGTAAAGGTGCACTCTCCACGTTATAATAGCGCGCGTTCTAATGATGCACGCTCCGCATTGTGCCTAAAGTGTTCCCGAATAGGCGAACCCCGTTGTCGCGAAAAAATACGCGTTTCGGAGAGAACTTGACCGTAACGTGATGCGGATATGGGAACGAGCGGCTTACTGTGATTGGTGGTGTCTTCACCCACATTCTCTTCGATCGCTTCCTCGGCGAGCGTGGCTGCTGCTGTGCTCGGCTGCACGCTTGGCTCATCGCGATCGGCGCCTTCGGGTAGAAAAACAAAAGAAAATGTATTGATAAACTTCTAGCACAGCGTGAGCAAAAAGAGGTCACCGTGGAATGTACTCCAGGCTTTGTTCAACATCAGGAAATAAATAAATAGAAACAGCGATGAAACGAGATTAGGCTGACGCCAGTTTATTTGGAGTCTGCATTTTCTCCCTGTGCCACGCGTGGATTCTTCTCCGGGTCCTCCCGTTTTTTCTCTCCACATTTAGAATCGACGTGTGTTTAGAGTATTTGGCTGTTATCAATTTACACATCATAAGCCACTTTGTTGAGCTATCATTTGTGGCCATGTTGCTTCTGCAAAAAGAGCTGTATGTGTGGCCTCGCCTGGTAAAACTAAAACAAAAAGTAGTAATATTCTTGGTTCTTTCGGTAAAGTCACGTAGAAGGGAAATAATAAAATAAAATAATATAAAGCAATAAAAGTAGTAACTTTAGATTGGTTTTGATTTAGCTGCAGATAGATGTCAAGCGATCCCTTAGGAAGTGTGTGGTGCTCACCAGTGCTGCCTGTACGTGGAGTGTGGGCCTCGTTTCCCGGTCCTCCGACCTCCGGCGCTGGGCTTGACTCTAGCTCTGCAATACACAACCCATGACATGGCTCGATTGCGGGTCCTTTTTTCGCGAGGGACAAATCGCGTCGCGATAAGTTTTGCTGCAAAAGTCAAATGTCGCGGCGAGAGCAGCGGTGGCCAACCGGCGTCTCGCGAGCCGCACGCGGTTCTATCGTAGACCAGGTTACCACGTAGACCAGAGCGTTCGCCCGAAACAATGATGTTTTTTTAAAATTTGATTTTGTTGAACGTTTCGTGAGACGGGATGGGCCGAAGGTCATCCGGCAGAGCGTTCCCGCACCGATGGCGGAGAGGCGGCAACTGGAAATGCTCTGCCGGTATCAAGGGAATCTTTAATGTCCGCTGTGCAGCTTGACGAGGTGTATTGTTCAGTCCAGCGGCTCTGAACATGGGGTGCACGCACCCCCTGGGGGTGCGAGACGTGGCCAGGTCTTTTTTAGAAGGTAGATTATCGAAACACAAATTCAGCACGGGCACGTTAAGTACAGCTACTCTTGTTTCATCAAATGTATGTATTTATTAAAGTGATCAATGTTTTTTTTACCGATTGAGAACCAAAGGGGGTGCAAGGCTGCAGTAAAGGTTAAGAACCCACTGGTTTAGTCGATATGTGCGCAGTATTAAGCAGGGCGGCTGTGGGGCACGAGCCGCAACCCCCCCCCCCCCCCCCCCGCAACTAGCAGCAAACCCGTAAGCCGCTCATTTACAACGCCGACCCCGTAAGAGCGACTCAGTTAGATTCTAGATTTGAAGTTTTCTCTAAAACAGTCTGCATCAGCAGTAGGCCATGCTTTCCCACCTGATGACGGGGGCTTGTGTTGCGCCTGAAACGTCGTGATTTCATTTATTTGTTTTCATTTATTTTATTTGTTACCTACGTGACTTTACCGAAAAAACCCAAAGAGTACGACTCAGTTTGAGTTCAGTATCGCATTCGTTACATGTGCAATGTAACGACTCCAGAGACATCGACTGTAGGGACTCACACTCGCACGACTGCAACTCGGTAGCACTTATATAACGCTGCCAGTCTAGCGACGTTGACGCTGATTCCTAGATACCTGGCCGACTAAGAGCGAGCACCGTCGACGCAGCGGTGGCAAAGACGACAGCGACGACGAAGACGATTCCCCTCTGGCACCCCAAGTCCCATTCACCGCTCCCTTTTATGCTCCCAGCGTGTCCGTGGCTCCGCCCGGGCCACGCCCCCTTTCTAGAACTCTCCAGCGGGTTCCGGGAGTCCCCAGATGGTTCTCCTTGCTGAACCTTGGCCCAGCTATCTCCCCCTCTGGCCGTTCCCGTGTATACTGTCTTACCGTCTTGCCCATACTGTTTACGCACACGCAATTTCCCACTGCGGTCGCCGCTAATCGGCGCACCACTCTACACATGGATTGTCCCGTTTAGCCAGTTGCCCGGCTATTTTACAGGGGAGATTGCTGCGTGGTGCTGCGTGAGCACAGCAACGAACAAAATAAAAGACGGAAAACATCGACATTGCACGTTATAAATTTGTGCGATCATAAGTTGTGTGTTTACCTGTGTGGATAGGCCTGGTCTTGAACTCGATGCCGTCTTGATATAACTCTGCAACGTGAACAGAACTGCCTTTTCCTCCAGCTGAATTCACAACAAATAACCGCACGCTGACGTGAGTGACAATGTACACGGGAAAAACGATAGTCCCACATGTGATAAAAAATATATAAATGTTCGCACAACTCACCAAGTACCCAGGGGACTTTAATTGAACTTTTCAAAAAAATATAAACACACTTTATTTCCCGAATAATTCAAAACACTTTTAATTAACTTTTCTTCTTCAAAATTGTGTTTTAAGTTGTGCATTTAACACATCCGAACCAACGGATATCATTAGTTTCTACAATCTGTTACAACTGGCCCTTTCAAATAATTATCAGTTTCCTTTAGAAGTGTCTCATCTCTCTATTTTTTCTTAATAAATCATTTAACAAAAAAAGTGGTGGACGAAGGTGGGGGGGTGCAGCGATATGTATGTAAGAGGTGTGATGAGGTATATACGAGGTATGTATGTGTAGTGTAATAGCGCCGGCTGGTGGATGGCAGCAGCAACTGTGGTGGCCAGACAGCACAAACTGCCGGTGAGGGCGTGAGCACGGTGTTGGCAGGGAGGAGGAACTGGGGCAAGGGTCACGGAGGACCCCATCTGGAGGCCCCTGGAACCTGCTGGCGGGTTCGAGAAGGGAGGCGCAGCCAGGGCGGAGCCAGGCCGTGCCGGGAGCATAAAAGGAGCTGAGAGCGGGGGGCTCAGGGCTGCCGGTTCTGGGATTGGACTCGTCTCGTAGCCGTCGTCTTTGTCATTGGTGTGATGAGGTTGGCATGCGAATGGGCTACCGTGCTGGGAGCCGATGTCCTTGCTGTCTCCGTTATCTTCCATGGAGAGGAGAGCCGGGATCCCTGGCAGAGAATCTGGCTCACGGACAGGACGAAGAAACAGTTTCGAGATTTCCAATGTCCATCGATGTTGGGTGATTCACTCGTAATCGGTGCACCTCGCCGTGTGGGTGGGGCGAGTGCGAGTAGGGTGAGTGTGAGTGGGATGAGGGTGAGTGGGGTGAGGGTGAGTGGGGTGAGTGCGATTGGGGTGAGTGGGGTGAGTGCGAGTGGGGTGAGTGCACCTCACCGTATGGGTGAGGTTTCCCACTTCCATTCACTGCTGCCGCCGCCGGCGTCTGCGGCGCGTTGTCGAGCCGCGGAGACTGGAGGCGACACCGCTGCACAGAAGCGTGAGGAGTCAACGTACCCCACTTCACCCGGCTTCTACCCCTCTGAAGACTTTCGGGATTTTGTCCTGAAAGATGCTTTGCGCAGCGCCAAGTGAAACATTGTCTCGAACCGCGACACTTTTGGCCTTTGAGAATTTGTCCCTCCGACTTAGCGGCGGCGAGCTGAAACGATAACTGGTGCTTTACAGGGACTTCCCTACTTACTAAGATTCCACTTACAAGAGATACGAACAAACCCGGTCCGTATGTCCAGTTGCCTGTTCGGACTGAGAGTCGTAAGTTCAACCACCGCGCAACAGATGGCGGCGGTGGCATCTACATTTGTAGAACGTGAATAACCAGGGGCATCTACATCTACAGAACGTGAAGAACCAGTGGCATCTACATCTGCAGAACGTGAAAAATCAGTGACGTCTACATTTGCAGAACGTGAAGAACCAGTGGCATCTACATCTGCAGAACGTGAAGAACCAGTGGCATCTACATCTTCAGAACGTGAAGAACCAGTGGCATCTATATCTGCAGAACGTGAAGAATCAGTGACATCTACATTTGCAGAACGTGAAGAACCAGTGGCATCTACATCTGCAGAACGTGAAGAACCAGTGGCATCTACATCTGCAGAACGTGAAGAACCAGTGGCATCTATATCTGCAGAACGTGAAGAACCAGTGGCATCTACATTTGCAGAACGTGAAGAACCAATGGCATCTATATCTGCAGAACGTGAATAACCAGCGGCATCTACATCTACAGAACGTGAAAAAAAGGCATTTCTAAAGAAGTGAGTGTTGGGCAGCACATGGCCTCCAGCCAGTCAGAACCGAGCACTGGGTGTCACGTGGCCAGCCAGCCAGCAAACATTTTTGTCTCTCTACATATGGGATGATAATGATAAGCGCTGCGGCTGTGACTTAAAACTTGCACCACCGTGCGCATGTCTCACCTTCAGCAACACCAGCGGCATCTTCTCCCTCGGCGAGTGTCAGCGTCTGGCCATCCACGATCATCATCATCCCTGAGCGATTGAGAGAGAGTGAGAGAGAAGTGGAATCGCAATCATTTGAATTCCGTTTCACACCCCCTCCCCAAATCCCATCCCACGTGACGAAAATTAAGAGGCAACGGGCGTTTGCAACGATGAGGCAGAACGGGATTGTGAGGTCAGTGGATGCGACTCGGGAGAAGAGGTGCAGAATAGAAGCTCATGGAGGGAGGAAGTCCGAAAAGCGCCCCCCCCCTCCCTCCCCTTGGATGAGTGGGAATTATAGCTTCGTGAGACTATGGGTCTTTGTACGTCTACGTAAGTGTGCGGAATGCTGTGTAAGTTCATGAGTCTCTATGTAAGTGTACGGGTCTCTATTGACGTCTATGTGAGTCTATGGGTCTCTGTAAGTGTATGGGTCTCTATGTAAGTGTATGGGTCTCTATTGACGTCTATGGGAGTGTATGGGTCTCTATGTAAGTGTATGGGTCTCCATTGACGTCTATGGAAGTATATGGGTCTCTATGTAAGTGTATTGGTCTCTGTGTGAGTCTGTGAATCTCTAAGTCAGTTGTGTCCGAGCGTGGTTGGCTACGCATGGAGCGTACGTAAAGGGAAAGAAATTACGGAGTCAATGAAAACTCGCAAAATATGAAAGCTTGAAGCTCACCGGCTCTCTCCGCCTCCAACGCCTCCAAGCCGTGCGGCCCAGACCCGTCGTGTGGGTGACCCTGCGCTCCTTCTCCGTGGAACGCTGAGGAGGGAACAGCGCCACCCAATTCACCGCCACTCCTCTAGCCAAGTAGGCACCCGTGCAGATCCAATGGCAATGGATTTGTGCCGCGGTTTGCGAGATTTCTTGACGAGCAGCACACCGCACGCCTCTTGGACATTACCGTCCATCCCTCCCAACAGCCAGCCAGCCAGTAAACCTTTTTCCAATATAGTATGAGAAACTGGTGTGGCAGCAAGAGAAGTTGATGCGAACGCCGCTACAAGATGTCACACGTTTGGCGCGATGGCCCTTTGCGGACCGCGCGTGATGATGACGAGTGAAATGAAGAGTGAGCGAATGTGCTCGGGCTGGATGCGTCGCGGCTATCGCGTGATGATGGCCGATAGCTAAGCGTAACGAGCGAGCGGCAGACAAGGAACGGAATGCTTCCGAGAGCACGTCTGCCGGGGACATGGAGTGATGAGATCACCTCCTGCGCAAGGTCCGAGGCGAATTGTTGCATCGCGCGATTAACGGGGTTTGGAGAAACATTTATCCAGCGGCGGACTGACCGTGGCGAACGACGATCGATTCGCGAGCAGCTGAGAAATTTGCGGGGCACGTCTTTTTCAAACGTGGCAAATTTCAGAGGCGCGGCGCCAGGCACACGACGGCCTGCTGATTGTCGAATGACGTCGCAAGAAAACTCGATGAACGTTCACCGTGAGGCGGGAGGGGCGCGTATTGACGGACGATGCGCCCGCAGCACTGACCGGGGCGGCCGCTGGGCTCTAACCGCGAACCTCCGCAACGAGGTTCGCTTGATCGTGTCGCCAGGCGCAAGTGTGTGCCACGTGGCTTGTGCGAGTTAAATGACTCTACCTGAATCAATTCCAGCGCCACCACCGCCGGCATCACCCAGTCCATCGAATAAACCCAGCGACTCGCCGCCGTCTGCACCGTGGCCTGACACACACGCGCACGCGTGAATTGAAATTTAACAAACAAATCTATATATATAAAATCGTGAATCTGTCTGTCTGTGTGTCTGTGTGTCTCCGGACCATATGCACTTTCATTGGACGGCGGTTGCCCCTGGCAACGGCTAGCGACGCCTTCGCCGCTTTCATTGGACCTGGCAACGGCTAGCGACGCCTTCGCCAAGGGCTGCAGTTTCATTGGACGGCGGTTGCCCCTGCCAACCGCTAGCCACGCCTTCGCCACTTTCATAAGCTCCTGTAATTAATTAAATAATAGCCATTACACAGTATTGTTGGCGCGCTAGGGGGGGGGGGGGGGGAACGCCACCCGTACCCTGCCTCTTCCAAGTCGACAATTTTAGGCTGAGGCCGCAGGCTTTGCACGCTACTAGGCCTCGACACCCACCACGCCACTCTGAGGTAAATTCATCAAAGTTTTTCCTACTCTTCACTACACCCCCACCACAATGTGTGCTATTAATATTACTTTTAAACCCAACGCGCCAACAATCGATTACTTTAATGTTCACTGTACAAATACTCATTAAGCTGGGTGAGCGTACTGACAGTCTATTATGTACACTGTAGCCTGCTTATTTAAGCTCTGTGAGCGTACTGCCACTCTATCATGTAGACTCTAGCCTGCTTATGAAGCTGAGTGGGTGTACTGGCAGTCTATAATGTAGACTGTAGCCTGGTTATTATAATCGATTCTTTAAATGTTCTTTGTACAAATAGTCATTAAGCTGCTTTAGCGTACTGCCCGTCTATTATGTAGACTGCTGCCTGCTTATTCAGCTGGCTGGGTGTACTGCCAGTCTATCATGTACACATTAGCCTGGTTAGGAAGTAAAGTTAGTCAATTTGTAACACGTACGCTTTCGCAAACATTATTCATAAACAACGTTATTGCGTTTAGATCGCCTTATTTATTAAGGTGTTGTCACCCTTATCCACCACCCGACACGCCCAATCTGCACAAAATTGTCACGTTCATAAAAGACTAAGACTTGACTGCTTTAGCCCACCGGTGTGTTCAAGCGGAAAACCACAACAATTAGCATTTCTCATGAAACAACTACTGTATAATTATGTTTAAACCACACGCGCCAATAATGGATTTGTTTAAATGTTCACTCAACAAATACTCATTAAGCTGGCTGAGCGTACTGCCACTCTAGAATGTACAGTGTAGCCTGGTTATATTTCTGGGTGGCTGTACTGACAGTCTATCATGTACACATTAGCCTGCTTCTTAAGTAAAGTGAGTCTTTTTGTAACACGTACGCTTTCGCAACCATTCTTCACAAATAACTTTATTGCCTTTCGCTCGCCTTAATTATTAATGTGTTGTAACCCTCCACCACCCCACACGGCCAATCAGTCAAAAAGTGTCCCGTTGATAAAACGCTCATAAGTCTCTGCTTTGGCCCACCGGTGTGTACAAGCGTAAAACCACAACAATTCCCATTTCAGAGTACGTCCTTTCGCTGATGCTGGATGCAATTACCAGCCAAACGTCGTACTGTTCAGTTGTCTGTCCATCTGTGTACGATCGCTTGCGAGGGATTTGCCGGGAGGCACGTCCCGTGCCCCGCGATGGGAATACGCATGTCACTGTGTATGTGTTTGTGTGTATGTATGTGTGTTTGTGTGTATGTATGTGTGTTTGTGTGTATGTGTGTGTCTGCGTATGTGTGTGTATGTGTGTGTCTGCAGCAAGCGCGTGTATGTGTACCTATGGACGCGCGCGCGTGTGTTGTGTAGGGGGAACGGTAGTGTAGTGGTTAGCGTGCTGTCTGTGTCTGTGTGTGTGTCTGTGTGTGTGTGTCTGTGTGTGTGCGTGTGTGGTGTGTGGGGAGCGGTAGTGTAGTGGTTAGCGTGCTGTCTGTGTGTCTGTGTGTGTCTGTCTGTGTGTGTCTGCGTGTGTCTGTGTGTGTGTCTGTGCGTGTGTGGTGTGTGAGGAGCGGTGGGTGTAGTGCTTAACGCTACGCTGCGCTACCAACCCGGCGAACCCAGTTCGATTCCCGCTCACGGCCACCACCGGTGACGATTATTTGAACCTCCCCTAGGTCGACTCTGCCTCAAACGAGTAACTGCTGTGGCGTATTAACATCGCCACTGGGGAGACAAAGGCGGCCGGCCGTGGTGGATACAAGTCCCGGGCGAAGCCGGGTAGTACAGCTAGTATATATATAAAACACCGAGGTGTCCGTAAAAAAAGGGTCATCTTTAGCGAATTGTAATCAAGACAGCGGTTTCACCCGCGCGGTTAAAATGCTGGCAACGTGCATTCGGCGAAAAAACACTCAACACATTTGTCACGAGCACACTCGGGGCTTTAAATGGCCAACTAATGTGCATATATAGCGTGCTTCACAAAAATGTTAACACTTATATAAGACTATCGTTTTAATGGGAAAAGAACGGATAATAAAACGCATACTCTCAGGTTTTTTCGGTAAAGTCACGTAGGTTAAAAATAATAGAAATAAAATAATAATCAATGAAAATAAATCAAATTGAGCAATCATTGGAAAGATGTTATTAACCATGTAAAAACGATTTAACTACGCATATTTGTACCATCTTATTTGACAGGTACTAGTCTACTTTACCGAGTGTTGACATCCCCAGCGTTTAACAGTACTTTTGGATTTGGCAGCCAACATAGGCCGTAACCCCGGGCTGAGGTGTTCCAATTGTGTGCACACTTAGAGGAGACGCGAGATGATCGCTGAGCGCACGTCGTATTTTTGCCGTAGTACCCGGCGACTGCCCTGCATCCACGCCACGAGCCTTTAATGCACACAAAGGCAAAGATACCCCGTATAGCCTGAACAGACTGTTGGGGCAAGTGCTGTTAGCAAGCACCTATGAAGACCGGGGGGGTGGGTGGCCAGCACCACGCCCGGCCGCCTTTGTCTCCCCAGTGGCGATGTTTACACATCGCATCAGGTACTCATTTGAGGCCGAGACGTCCTAGGGAAGGCCCATGACCGGTTCAGATAATCGTCACTGGCGTTGGCCATGGGTTCGTAGCGCAGCGTCGCGCTAACCGCTGCACCACCGCTCACCACTCATCATTTTACCTGCGTCAATTCCAGCGCCGGCACCACCGATCCCGTCGTGCGAGCCAGGGGTCTGGCCTCCATCCCCACCGTAACCTGACCCACACACACACAGAGATCCATTAACATTAAGTGGCACAATATCAATCTAGATTTGAAGTTTTCGTGACTGCAGGGATCCATACTCTTTGGTTCTTTCGGTAAAGTCACGTAGGTATAAATTGTTTTCTTGCTGTGGTTGTCCCACCTGATGACGGACGCTTGTGTTGCGCCCGAAACGTCGTGATTTAATTTATTTAATTTTATACCTACGTAACTTTACCGAAAGAACCAAAGAGTATGGCACAATATCATCCATAATAAGACAATCGTAATTATACGGCAATGTCATTTGTTAGGTTAAAATTGTTTGCAACATACTCCTTTCCATTTAAGGTTAGCTTAGTTTTTCGTGTATAGCACGTGTAAGAATCAACACTCTTTAATTCGTATAGAGGGTATTGTACACGGTACGTCAGGGTTCTACATCATCCTTGTGTAGTGTGCTAATTCACAGACACTAGTAGGAGGTACTCTCTCTCTTTTATTTCGGCCTTCACAGCCTTGGGGGATAACCACACGCCGGGTCGGGACAGCCAACACGCTGCCAGACCCACAGCTTGCAGAAGGCGAACATCACAACGACGATGGCACGCTGAGTGGCAGATGGCAGCAGCCCCGACTGTGAGTCGGAGCTCGCCTTTTATCCTGCCCAGCGTGGCCAGACTCCGCCCTCGGCCAGGCTCCGCCCTCGGCCAGGCTCCGCCCTCGGCCAGGCTCCGCCCTCGGCCAGGCTCCGCCCTCTGGATCCCCCCAGGTGGCTCCGTGCCTTGCCCACAGGTCCAACTGGTAGAACGGGCTGCTACCCATAATTATATCGTCTACCAACCTCCCAGCGGCACGCTCTCCAGTGACTCCATTCGGCGTCACTACACTTGTAACCACGGCCCAGTTCACGCGCCAACGTTGGGATTAGCCTGGAACAACACTGGGCTGACGCTCCGTGTGTACCAGGAAGAGAGGAGCGACCATGATTTAGAACGAGTTTGTTTTGGGTTAGATCGTCACGGGTGTAGGTGCGATGACTTTTTCTTGTTTTAAGATGATCTCCTCCAGCACCCAGCATAGTCAATCCAATAAAATTGTCACGTGGAGCAAATGTGCCAAATTGATGCACACTTTTTTTGTGCAAAACCCTGAGGAACTAAGAAAAGCGATTGACATTCTGACAATTTGAATACGAGGTGCTATTATCCACCGCAATGTCAGAACGAAACGTGCTAATATATATTTGACTTCATTGAAATTCCACAATAGATGTAATTTTGACGGTTATATCGCTTAAATATAAATGTGCCATTGAACCCATTATTAAAATTCTTATTCATACTCTTTGGTTCTTTCGGTAAAGTCACGTAGTTCGAAATAAAATAAAACAAATGACGACGTTTCGATCGCAAAACAAGCGGTCGTTATCGTCATCACCTTTGCCTGACGACGACCGCTTCTGTTGCGATCGAAACTGCATCACCGTGGAAACCGAGGACTGTATGACCACAGCAGTCTTGCTGTGGTTGTTTACCCACGTTGGGCCAACATTGGGCCCAACGGTTTCAAACCGCCGGGTAGTGACTTACCGAAATTGTCTACGATGGGCCCCGCGTTCCCATATCCCATCGCTCCATCGGCCGTCGCCTCCGCACCTCCAAAATGGCCTGGTGGGAGAAAGGCCACAACGCGGGGTGCAGTGGCGGCACGGGCCAGATTCAGATGCCGAAGGGACAATCAGTCACGCGTCGTGCCGCGCGTTGGTCGGTCAAACCCATCACTCGCTTGGCAATTCACGCCGTTTCATTGGCGACGGAGACAATGCCACCCACGTGCTCACGAGAAATTGGACAGATTGGAAGGTTCGCGAACGCGTCACGCCAGTAGCCCTCTGCGTTAATGTTGGGATATGTGAATGAAGTAGAGGGGGGAGAGGTGGTGAGGGAATGGAGGGCAGAGGTGATGAGTGGGCAAATGCCAGGACTGCACGTTTTCCACCCGAGAAACCGTGGGCCCTTTGTGACGGACTTACCTCCATGACCCGCCACGAAACCACCGGATTCGTCAGCCGCACCATTGGCTCCTCCAGCAGCTCCACCGTTTTCTCCAGCCGCACCATTGGCTCCACCAATCGCACCATTGGCTCCACTAATCGCATCACCGGCTCCACCAATCGCACCATTGGCTCCACCAATCGCACCATTGGCTCCACCAATCGCACCATTGGCTCCTTCAGCTGCACCATTGGCTCCACCAATCACACCATTGGCTCCACCAATCGCACCATTGGCTCCTCCACCAATCGCACCATTGGCTCCTCCAGCCGCACCATTGGCTCCACCAATTGCACCATCGGCTCCTCCAGCCGCACCATTGGCTCCTCCAGCCGCACCATTGGCTCCACCAATCGCACCATCGGCTCCACCAATCGCACCATCGGCTCCACCAATCGCACCACCGGCTCCTCCAGCCGCACCATTGGCTCCACCAATCGCACCATCGGCTCCACCAATCGCACCATTGGCTCCACCAATCGCACCATCGGCTCCACCAATCGCACCATCGGCTCCACCAATCGCACCACCGGCTCCTTCAGCAGCTCCATTGGCTCCACCAGCTACACCATTGGCTCCTTCAGCAGCTCCATTGGCTCCTCCGTCTGCACCACCGGCTCCACCAACTGCACCGTGACTCGTATAATCGAGCGTCATCCCTCCCCCAACTCCGGCCGTGTCCGTCGCCATCCCTCCCTGCAGCTCTCCCGTGGAATCGCGCGCCACGTCCCCCGCTGTCCCGCCAACCCCAGCTGCCCCTGCTCCCCCACCTCCTCCAACTCCTCCTCCTGCTGCTGCTGCCCCAACAGACGCTGCGGCTTCGTTGGCTGCTGGAGAAGAGGCGGTGAGATCAGCCGCGTGGCGATGGAAACAATCCACGCCGCAGTGACAGCGGCGACGTGCCCGTTAACCAAATCACGCGGGATGTGCCCAGCCTCTCGGGATCTCGGAAGCTACGTAGGGATGAACACTGCACGAGTCTAGATTGAAAACTCATTTCTTTACAAACTTCTTTTTTTTCTGTGTTTAGTTTGTTGTCCTTCCCCCGCCAGCACAGCGTTGCGCCCTTTCAGATGTGCTTCTGCGGCCGTCTGGAACGCTCTTCCTTCCGATGTTCGGAAGCCACTGGGCAGAGGTCACAACCAGGTACCCGATACCCGTACCCTACCCGATACCCGGCTACCCGTACCCGATGTTTCGGCTTGGGTCTAATTGTCCACGGTCAACTGACGTTGGCTGTAAATGACCACACGGCCCCTTACGTTATGGCAAGCGTCGGGGCCACTTCCTGGAGTCGTGGAGTTCTGCCATTACTAGTACATTTCATAAAAGCGTGTTTAAAATAATAGTTTTTTTAAATATAACTTATTTTTCCATAAACGTTAGCTCAACGAAGTGGCTATTGACGTGGAAATGCATAGCAGCCAAATGCTCGAAAGGCGTGATGTTAATTCTAAATGTGGAGGGAAAAACCTGAGGACCCTGAGAAAAATCCACGCGGCCACGGGGAGAGAGAGAGACACGCAAACTCCAAACAGCAGGCGTCAGGGTCGGGATCCATATCTGTGAACCCAAACAGTTTACCCCGTAATCTTGTACAGAGAAATTAAGTTTTCAGGTCCATACGGCGTACAGCCTCACTGGACATCTGTGACAAAAAGAGCTTTACAGCTCATCGGATTCCTCCTCTAGTACAAACGAACATTCTGAAGTCCAACATCACACGGCTCCGTCAGATTCCATTGCGAATGGGTGACGCGGTGGTCGACGAGGCCTGGGGACTGACCTGGCCGCTGCGGTTCTTCAATTCCAAAACGGTCGATGCCCTCTCCTCCGAACGCCCACTCGGCTCCTGCCTGCTGCGCGTCTGGGTACCGAGGCATTCAGTTCAAATGTCGTCAGTTGGCCTTTCGATGCGCCGGCTCGCACGCGACCGCTGCGACACTCGTCGCCCCGTTCGCTCTGTCCGCGTTGCCTGGGGACGCACCTGAACTGGTCGGATCACCGGTTAGCACGGTTGGCTACGTACCGGTGCGAAAGAAGTTCAACGTACGTACGTACAGGGATTCCTACGAATTTTCAGAGATACGAACAAACCTGGTCCGTATGTCCGGTTGCCCGTTTGGACCGAGAGTCGTAAGATCCACTGCCGTGCAATAGATGATGGCTGTGGCATCTACATTTGCTGAACGTGAAGAACCAGTGGCATCTACATCTACAGAACGTGAAGAACCAGTGGCATCTACATCTGCAGAACGTGAAGAACCAGTGGCATCTACATCTGCAGAACGTGATGAACCAGTGGCATCTACATCTGCAGAACGTGATGAACCAGTGGCATCTACATCTGCAGAACGTGATGAACCAGTGGCATCTACATCTGCAGAACGTGATGAACCAGTGGCATCTACATCTGCAGAACATGAAGAACCAGTAGCATCTACGTCTACAGGAGATTTTACCACTTTTAAAGCCATTCCCCGTGTTGAGTCTACACGCACGCCGTACAACACGTTTGTAATCGACAGGAGTAAAGTTGGACTTACGATCAAATCGACTTACGAACAGACCTCTGGAACCTAACTCGTTCGTATATGTGGTTAATGCAAAAGGTTTAAGTTTGGTGTTTAAACATCTTAGCACAACTGTTTTATTAGAAGTAGTAATAGGGTTTTACCCTTTTATCTGGCACCAAAACTGACACCTTTATACAAGGGATCATGTTTGCAATAACCACAACACAAGCAGTCAAAATGCAAACAAAAAAAGAGACAACTCTGATAATGATATGCACTGTCCTTGAAATCAATTGGTCCACACCCGAGACGTCAGTTTTGGTGCCAGATAAACGGGTAAAACGCCATTACTATATCTTGCTACTGGCAAAGGAGGTCTCATAATGTAACTGTTGTATTTCCAGATAGGGTAAAACATATTCTTCTATACTGATACTGGCAAGGTCAAGTAACAAAAGGATCAACACGTTTCTGGGTTGCACCACGAGTTTGTTCGGCGTGATGTCCGACGTTTCGCTGCACGTGCTGGGGCCTTCTTCAGGCCGAGCGAAACGCCAGGGGTCACGGCGTTTAGCACGCGGTGCAACCTGAAGGACGCAACCAACGGTCGGGGAGCTGTCGAGAACAACCGTGGGCAACGTTCAAATCTTCTCACGCGCGGCGACAATCATTGACAGCCGGATGACGGACGCACCTCTGTTGTTTGACGGGGGCCCGTTGTTTGCGCCGTTCTGCGAGTCTGAGGCAAAGCACAAAGGGGAATTAGCGAAGAGCACGCGAACCTGGGGAGTGCGGTGCGCGTGTAGGAGGTCACGGGGTTAACGGATGCCTCCTTGCGGCACGAGCGTCGCGTGTTGCGCTGCGCTAATTTTAAAGCGGGGACCATTTGTCAATTGCTTCGTTGTAAGCGAATTTTATTGGAATCCCCTTTTAATATGTATTTCGGTACTATCTTCACGTAAAGAGATATTATTACTCCTAAATATTTATTTAGGTCTTTGTTGGTGAGAGATTTGGACGGACGAATGGTTATATTTCTCATGAGTTCCGTGGTTTAGCAAAGGCTAGAGGTGCAATGCTAATCGATATTCATTGTTGGTCTTTACCAGAATCTGATTGATAGTATGCGTGTGCTCAAATGGTAGAGAAATCTTTCCTAAAGCCTGCTTGCTGCCCTGATCGGTTGCCTCCAATGTGTTCATTAATCCGCGTACCAATGATCTTCATGAACAATGAATACAGGCGTGATGAGAGGTCTGTCCTTCTACAAGCCGGTTTTGTTGTTGTTGTTATCATCCGTTACGAGACATTGCATTTCTGTGTAAACATTCCTTGAACAGATTTCGATTTAAAGCTTTCGTGACTGCAGGGATTCATCTTCTTGGTTCTTTCGGTAAAGCCACGTAGAAGGAAAATAATAAAATAATAAAAATCAAACATAATAAAATAATATAATTTGATAAAGTTGTATTTTTATTATTTTATTATGTTTTATTTTATTATTTTATTATTTTCCTTCTACGTGACTGAACCAAGAAGATTCCTTGAACAGGTCTTGCTCATCTTGTCCCAGCAGTTGGTGCCACCTTCTCTCACGATGTCCGCAGTAACAGCGTCCGCTCCAGGTGCTACCCCATCTACTCATATCGCAAAGGGCAGAGTTGACTTCTTCCAGTGCAACATTTGTGACTCTCCCCTCTTCATACGAATACTGGCCTCGCTCCTGGGCTCGACGCATTTCCTTTCCTACGGAGATTTGCACAACATCCCCGCCAACTACTTTTATCGATAGTTGCACGTCAATGTGCCATTTATCAATAGTTCAATGTCAATGTGTTATGCACCGATAGTTCAATATCAATGTGCCATTTATCGATAGTTCAATGTCAATCTGCCATTTATCGATAGTTCAATATCAATGTGTCATTTATCGATTGTTCAATATCAATGTGCCATTTATTGATAGTTTAATGTCAATGTGTTATGCACTGATAGTTCAATATCAATGTGCCATTTATCGATAGTTCAATGTTAATGTGCCATTTATTGATAGTTTAGTTCAATGTGCCATGCATCGATAGCTTAGTTCAATGTCAGTGCACCACTTATCGATAATTCAATGTCATTGTGGCCATTTTATTGAGGGCCTCCTACCGCTGTGTGGCGCCATCTTGGTGTGGTCTGGGACTATTTTGCTGTCACTGTTGCTGCCGTACCCAATATTGACAAATCGGGCTTAGATCTATATATAATGTATTTATTACGGTTATTTATATTCAGTGACTTGTTTACCTTTACTCTTTGGTTCTTTCGGTAAAGTCACGTATGTAGAGAAATTAATAGATCACGACGTTTCGATCGCCATACAAGCAATCGTCTTCAGGTGGGGAGACGATTGCTTGTGTTGGAATCGAAACGTCGTGAATTATTTTATTTTATTTTCTACCTATGTGACTTTACCGAAAGAACCAAAGAGTATGGATTCCTGCAGTCACGAAAGCTTTAAATCAATATCGTTTACTCTCGTCTTTATTTTGCACTGCTATCGTCTTTGTTGTTGTATTAGTTTTGCTGTTGTAACCCTCTGACTCCCCCCCCCCCCCCGGTCCATACTCGACACACCTGTGAAAAAGAGCTTCATAGCTCATCGGATTCCTCCAGCACCAAATCAAGATTCTGATTCCGATCAAGATTCCATCTGTATCGTACAGCTACGGTTCAGTGTCTCTCTCTCTATCCATCTCTCTTCCTGTGAAGGGTTCACAATTTTAAAGACAGCGGAGAAAGCCCCAACAGCGATAGCCGGAGCAATAGCGATCATATCAAACGGGCATCAATAGCGTGGCGGATATCAGAGCACGCTGTTCGTGTTAGCTGGCTTATTATGCCTTCGTCTTGGTTCTTTCGGTAAAGTCACGTAGAAGGGAAGTAATAAAATAAAAAATAAAAAATATCTTATTATATTATTGTATTATGTTTTAAAGAACCAAGAAGATGAATCCCTGCAGTCACGAAAGCTTTAAATCGAAATGTATTATGCCTTGTTAAGGAGAGGACTTTTAGCAGGAATATTAGTAGGGGGGCGGGGGTGGGGTGGGTGTGTTCGAAGATTCGAAAAAGTAGATAATTGATTTGCTTTTACGCGTAGAGACACACGTGGCAAATATGGTGGTGGAGGGGGGGGGGAGAAATTCGACGCGGATTATTGAAGAGCGGCGTGGAGTTGTCGTGCCAAGCGAGGGTCGTGGTGCGCCACCCACCCCACCCCCCCGTGCCCCCCCTCCCGTGCCCCCCCCCCCCGTGCCCCCCCAGAATCTGCCGTGTGACGGAACTCACAGACGCCGCCGCCTCCGTGTTCACTGGACTCGGACGACATGTGGCTGTCAAAGTCACTGGTCGAATCGGGCTCCCTCGAATCTTCAGAAACGTGCAAAATACACAAGCAAAAAATACATTCTTTGGGTATTTCGGTAAAGTCACGTAGATAGGTACAAATGAATAAAAATGATAAATATAGCATCAACAAAAAAACTATTTTTTGGTTTATGCGCTACGAACCCATCGACCGGAGTTCGATTTCCGCTCACGGCCAATACCAGTGACGATTATCTGAACCGCTCATGGGCCTCCCCTAGGTCGACTCAGCCTCAGATGAGTACCTGGTGCGGTGTGGTAAAACATCGCCACTGGGGAGACAAAGGCGGTCGGGCGTGGTGCTGGCCCCCCTCCCTCTCGTGTGCCGTGCCGGCTTTTGTAGGTGCTACTCGCTAACAGCACTTGCCCCAACAGTCTGTTAAGGCTATACGGGGGATCTTTGTATTTGTCTTTGTGTGTGTGTGTGAGCAGATTTGTTTAGCACCATGAGAACAATTGTTTAAGTACGCTTTATAAATGTAAATGATTATCTTCTTGGTTCTTTCGGTAAAGTCACGTAGAATGGAAATAATAAAATAATAAAAATAAAACATAATAAAATAATTCTCGCGACGTTTCGGCCACAACGCAAGCAGCCGTCCTCAGGTGAAGAACAGGTCTGTCGAGAAGACAGAGTCTGAAACGTCGTGAGAATTATTTTATTATGTTTTATTTTTATTATTGTATTATTTCCATTCTACGTGACTTTACCGAAAGAACCAAGAAGATGAATCCCTGCAGTCACGAAAGCTTTAAATCGAAATGTAAATGATTACTTAACTCTTTATTTTTTTGACACCGGGCACAAGGCTATGGGTGCGTCTCACGTCCCCGGGACCCCTTTATAACACGATCACACGTGTTTTCGGTGTGGACGGGGGGCCACCAAAGTCCACGATGTACCTTCCTCGGATGTGTCGATCGCGAATGGGGAACTCGGGGAGAAGAGCAGAGCCAGCACGAGGACGATCTCGAGGCTGCTCGCACACACGCACAAGCACCATGGGGGTTGGGGGGACCCATTAGCCCAGCAAATCTTCACGACATTTTCAGAGAGGGGAGGCTGGGGGTGGTGGCCACTTTCGCTGATGAGACATCGCAAGCGTGAGCGCCGCCACGCCGTTGAAACCATTTGTGGGTTGGTGACAGTAGCACGATGATGATGATGATGGAGTTGCGTCAGGGGCCGCGTTAAAGGCCATCAGGCGACCCGTCAGTCACCCCGCGGGCCTTGAGAAATGAAGAACGCTGCATTGGCCGCTTTCCATCTTCATCTCTTTTTTTTATTTCCACTTCGGCTACTTTCACGAGAAAAAAATTATTTGTTCATCTCATTTACAGCTGCGTGGTTGTTTTGGGGTTTAAAAAACAGAGAATAATCTCCGTTCGTAAAAGTTGAAGGCAGTATAGTACTATAGTAATAGAGCAAGTGTAAAATCACTGAACCGGAATTGATAGCTTGAAAGCATTTAGCGCGGGGCCCTTGAAAGTGCGGGTCCCGTAGCTACTACTACATATGTCGCTACTTGTGCTACGAGGATAATCCGGCACTGCTTCACACGTGACCTCTTACCCAGCACGAGACGAGGGCAGCACTTACCCATCCACCCCGCTGCAGGTGAGAAATGTTGGGCATATGGCAGTAAATAAACAGTATACGTGTATACACATTATACGTTTGAATTCTCAACGATGGTATTCGTTGAGGTTAAGTGGAAACAAAATAATTGTAACACATAGTTTAATCTTGATTTGAAGCTTTCGTGACTGCAGGAATCCATACTCTTTGGTTCTTTCGGTAAAGTCGCGTAGGTTTTATTTTATACCTACGTGACTTTACCGAAAGAACCAAAGAGTATAAACACGTAGTTTGTTGTGTGTAGTCATTGGGTACCAGGCTGAGACCATCAACTCAGTACTTTTCAGAATAAGGTCGAAAATCTGTTGACTGTAAATATATATGTGGGAGGCCCTTCTCAAATCCAAGGGCCCATTACGCCCATGCTGGATGCATCTCAATTGGCATTCTTTCACTTCGTTTATTAGAAAACGTGAGATTGAGTTGGTGCGCATTGCGCCATAGAAAACCGAGTTTATTGTTACGGTATTACTGTGTTGGGTGTCACGGTGACGAGATGTTAACTGCCTCGCCTGCTGTACAGGAGGTCGTGGGTTCGATCCCGATCCCGACCCTGACGTCTGCTGCTGTATATTTGGAGTTTGCGTGTCTCTCTCTCCGGGTTTTCCCTCCACAATATGAATCAACATCACGCGTTTATAGTGTTTGGCTGTTCTTCTTGGTTCTTTCGGTAAAGTCACGTAGAATGGAAATAATAAAATAATAAAAATAAAACATAATAACATAATTCTCACGACGTTTCGGCCACAACGCAAGCAGCCGTCCTCAGGTGGAGAACAGGTCTGTCGAGTATTATTTTATTATTTCCATTCTACGTGACTTTACCGAAAGAACCAAGAAGATGAATCCCTGCAGTCACGAAAGCTTTAAATCGATGTTTGGCTGTTCTACATTTCCCACGTGATAATCCACTTCGTTGAGCTATCATTTGTGCCCAGTCCGATTCAGATAAAATAAATATACAGCTCAGTGGGGCTTACGTGGTAAAATAAAAATTTGTTGAGTGTCATTGTTAAAAGTACGGGGCTGTAGTCGGCAATACGGGTGGTGTTCGCAATGATGTCCACAAGAGGGCGGATGCGGCCCAGTTTTTGACCGTCAACCATTCCTCCAATACAAACGAAACTATCCACAGCACTTCAAGAGCGTTGCAAAGTATATATCCCCAGTAAAGATTATACCAGTAAATATTATTGCAAAACACGTACATCAATAATACTGTGAGCTAAAAAAATGATACACATGAAAGGCGACGTTTCGGGAATTGCCCTCATTATTAGCGTGTGCTTTTACCTTATTCCCCGCATGAAAGGCACAATTGTATTTCCCTGTATTTTCGAGCAAATGTTGCGAGGTGCGTCTTATAATGCGGTAGCGGTCTGTGTGTGGTTTAGATCGCGTAAATATAAATGTGTCGTTAACCCTGCCACCACCCAACACAGCCAATTATGGAGTATTTGGCTGCTATAAATGCCCACGTGATAAGCCACTGCGTTGAGATTTGTGGCAGCCAGGTCTTTTCTGAAAAAATCAGCAATATAGCTCAGTTTGGCCTTACCTGGCAACATAAAACATGGTTTAGTTAAGTAAGGTTTGTCGCGAAAACACAACGTGCCAAGTGAGATACATCCGCCAGGGGCTTTGGTGACAATTAGTAGTTCACGTGACAACCCTCACTCATTGGCTGTGTCGGGTGGCGGTGGGTTGACGACACATTGATATTTACACGATTTACCCCCCCCCCCAAAAAAAAACCCTTTACCAGAATTTGTATGACGTTTTGAGCGGGTGAACCTTCTTTGCCGGAGCATCTTACAACCCAGATAATTCGGTAGGTCATCATCATCCCTCTTATCGAAATCGGCTCCGCTGCGTTAATAACACTGGTCAAACACACTTTTTGTGGCATAAGGTATTCCAACGGTTTTAAGGTAATTTTGGGGTGCTGATTCCAAATCTGGCATCAGTTTTTTTCTATCCCATCATGTTTTTCAGATATCAAATATTGAATTTTCAATAAAGACTGCAGAAGAAAAATATTAAATAAATGTGGATATCTACATAAAATGATATTATAAACACACTATCCGAAAAATACAGCACCATATTTTAACACTAATGCAGTCACTGACTCGCAACAACTTGCAATCATAAGTGACAGAGTTAATTTCGGGTAAAATCAATGAAAATGGGGTATGCCGATAGCATAAAATGAGATGTGATAGAGCAAATCTGAGATCAGATTTGGAATCAGCACCCTGAAATTAGTCTAAAACAGCTGCAAAAGTCCAGGCCAGAAAAAAATGTGTTTTGTGTTGACCAGTGTTATTAATCGAACAGCTGATCGGTGCACGCACTGGCGGCCGCTGTGGTCATGCCCCGTGCCAGGCGATGCAAGGACGGTCCGTACTGTCGTGCAGTCTAATCTCAAGGGGTAAAGGTGCAGCCCTGCACGTTTTTACTACTCTCACGTAACTGTTGGTAGAAGGGTTTCCGCTAGAGGGAGCTCTAGAGGGCCCCATCGAGGGGGGTATTTTTGGCCTCCTCTTCCACACTGGGAAGAGGTGTTCGAAGAGAAGAGGAGTACGCACACTTTACCCCACTACACGGTCAATGGCATCGCGCGCTTCTGCGGCCGTCTGGAACGCTCTCCTTTCCGATATTAGGAAGCCACTGGAGCTGAGCACTTTTCGATCATCTATATTGACGAACTCCTTTCTTGAGACCTGCTTGTTGTGTTTAGTTTGTTGTCCTTCCCCCGCACCTCCTATGAGCACGGTTGGCTACGTACTGTGCGAAAGAAGTTCAACATACATACATTCACCCAATGTGCATTGGTGCATGAGCTGCTTTAGAATCATATACATTTCTATTTTTTCGTAATCTTTGGGCTTCCTCACAGCCTGATATATATTGCTGTCTGTATCTCTACAGATCATGCATCTCTTGGGTGCTCTGATACAAATCCCCGAGTAAGCGTGATATTCAGACAGACAACAAGCTGGCAAAGCCAGGCATTAAAGGGAGCTTACTTTTCCAGGCCACCTGATACCCACACAGAATCAGAATATTTAATATTTATTCATAACGGAGGAATCCGATGAGCTATAAAGCTCATTTCACGTGTTTGCGGACAACGTAATGTATATTTTAAGAATCCATTGCCAAGCTCTGCTCAGTAACGACAGATTTGGGCGCTGGTTTTGTTAGGCCCTTGCGGTATCATAGTGATTGTGTTGTATTTTTTTTCTGTTTAAACTTTTTTTTTTATCTGTGAAGTATCCTCGGATTTTTGGACTAACGGGACGCAATATTTCCCCGGCGCGGCAATACGTAACCCCACGACTCCCACACAGAAATTTAACAGCGCACGCCTAACAAAGGTCAGCCAGGTCTTCCTCGTCAGAGATAATGCACCGGAATTGGCTCTCAACCTCTTTAAATCAACAGCGCTGGGTAGATGTTCACGGCGGCGACGGTGGCTGGGCGCGATGCAATGGCATCAGCGACCTTCACAGTACAGCGATGCGCGACTCCGCTGCTGCTGACCCTGTTGCTATCTGGGCTCGAACACTTGAACGTGACGATCGTAGTCGTTGCTTTGCATCTACATCGGCAGCCGTACAAACAGAATAAGTAATATTATAAAAAACTAAACAAAAAAACGCTTTTATGAAATGTACTAGTAATGGAAGAACTCCACGACTCCAGTAAGTGGATCTGAAGCTTGCCATAACGTAAGGGACCGTGGCCAATTACAGCCAACGTCAGTTGACCGTGGACAATTAGACCCAAGCCGAAACATAACATGTAAAAAATAATGTTTACAATTTTTTTTAAATGATAGAATATAGTATTGGCATCAATATGACATACCAAGTTTGCAGTCGATAGCACATTGGGAAGTTGGTTGAAATTGAGTTACAAGATATGAGGATACAACAACGACAACAACAACAACAGACAGAGTGAGTTAAATGAAAGCGTGTAAAAATAGAAGAAGCAGCATCAGCAGCCCGAATCTTCAGTCACTGGCTGTGACGCTGGCGAAAAGTTCCGTGCGACGCTAACAGCCAGGGGCGATGACTCGGCTGATGTGCCACTTGGCACGTTTGCTCGCTTAGCAATACGCGCCGCGTTCATTTACGACATGCGGGAGTTTAATATTTACACTGTGCACCGGGAGGGCAGCTGGCAACATCACAGCCTGTCGCACGAATGTCGCTGTCCCCTTGTGAACGCGTAAACTGCGGAGAGCGGGCAAATGGCTCTGAAGATTGGGAGACTTTTAACAGACGTGGTCATGTCATGCTCGACGTTGCAAGGCTCTCTTGTGCA